AGCCCAAGTGAAAAGAAACAAACAAAAAAAAGCCAACAAAAAGGCGGATGAAAAGTTATACAACTGGTGTTAAAAGGTATTGAATGGCTTGACCAGTTAAGCACAAAAAGAAAAGGAAATTTACAAGTCAGCCTAGCTCTGAAGAAAGGTCCACATACTTTACATTCAGTGAAATACAAATCACTCCAAAAGAGGACATGGCAGTTAATTCACTATTTACTTCGGCGGAGCGCGAAGTAAAGGTTTCGCGACGCTCAGGAATGTATCAAAGTTACAATTTTTTGACAAGATTGGGCATGCAAAGTCTGTAGGTTTTCGGTTTTATTCGGCTATTTGACGAAGTGAGAGCCGAATTAATTCGAGATATCTCGAGATCACTTCGATTTGTTTGATTCATTCTTTAACTTTTTCGAGGAAGAAAGAATTATTATTTTGGCTTTCCCGGGGTTTGAACCGACTCACCTGTGTGAGCCGTCAGATCAGAGGAGACTCTAAGTTGAGGGATTAGGCGATTGCGCTACTACGACCCAAGGTAGTTTGGGAAATGAAAAATAGTTATGAAATGATGCACTAGTTTCGGGACAAGATTGGGCGTGCAAGTTCGTGACTTTTCGGCTTGTTTCAACTATTTCACGAAATGAGACCGGACTACTTCGTGATATCTTGAGATCACTTCGAGTTTAGTCTTTAATTACTCGAGGAATAAATAGAGGATATTTCGTGGCCGCGCAGAGACACGAAAGTTCTCTTCGAGTGTTGAAAAACATTTCAAGAGTGAGCCCTCCTTTCGAACTGTTTTATGATGAATTTAAAGTTACAAAATGCTGCAAGAAGACATTTTTTCTTTTTTGAGTGTTACGTAGTAAAATTGCTTTCATGCGTTGCGTGACTTTCTCGAACGTTCTCTACGTTTTTGGATTAGCCATGAATAATTAATTAGGGCACGTTTACATTTCAGCATGAGTCAGCAGATTTGCATCAGTTACTGAAATCATAAAATACCGTATGTCGAAAAGCTACTACTATTCGCCTGCTGTTTAGTATTTTCTAGAACCTTATGTCAAACGGTATACAAGTTCCAAGCGAGTTCTTTTGAAGAACTAAGTTTTTTCCCACGAGCTGGACTGCTGTGTTTAGTCAAGTGTGACGAAGGTCGATTTTCAGGTATTGTGTTTACAAGTTCGCGGAAGTCGTAAGATATCTGAAGTTCAAGTAAGAGTTTGTTATTATTGGTAGAGGCTGTTTAGTTTTACTCAAAGTTTAAGTCAAGTTTGTGTTGGTGGATGCCGTGTTTTAAAGCTCTGTAAAGGCTATGTTCCTTTGGTGTTAAACTCCCTTGTGTTAATCCGACATCCCTGCGTGCTGATAGTCAGTGAATAATTATCCTCAAAACATTCGAACTCGTGACTTTGAGTTTTAGCCAATTCCATGCTCAACGTAATTGACTCCTTACCCATGCCTTACATATCTTTAATCAGTACATGAGACTGCTATGCTGTTTTTCAAGCCTGATGTGACTAAGAAAAATAGAGAATTGTTTTTTTAGAAGGATTTGTATGGAGTCATCAGAGCATAACTGGGCTAACATCTCGGAGACAATTTGTCCCGAAATGCTAGTTTTTGGCAAGTAGGCCTCTTGGATGTTGCTCTTTTCAGAATATCCTGAAAAATCCCATAATTTCACAAATTAACACCTTACTCTTACCATATTTGATTTCTTACTATTCCTCCGCATTTACAATTAATTAGTTCCACAACCACGACGTCGAAGTGTACGCTCCGTAGCTTCTTGTTCTAATTATATTAAGGCCAAATTACCAGCTAGAGCATTACATCACCCAAGAGAGAAAAAAATGAATACAAAGTTTGTTGTGCATCGGGTCAAATTCACCTTGGTTCAAGCTTGTTTTTCTATTGGCAGGGAATGATAGGGAACAAGAAAATGAAATTTTGCATAACAAAAATATAAGTTGAAATCAGTGCCACTTTGCCTACTCCACGGAAAGCTTCAGGTAGCGTACTGAAAACTATGTGTATAAAATATTAAGCTTAGCATATTCTGAACCAGCTACCGATTACGTCTTAATAGAAGGTCGGATAGCTTTCTACCGACATTGTAGTCTGAGAAATTCCATTCTTTGAAGCTTTCTAAAGATTTCGTTTCCACCAATGGGAATTTGCATATGATCAGACTTTTGATTACAGAACTGTGCTCGACCTGTAGTCAAATATATCATTCCGTGATGGCAGCGTAACTCAGTGGAAAAACAAGAAACCAAATATTACTGATCATTTGCACTCCCTTTAAGCTGCGAAAATTGATTTAAATCGTGCGAACGTAGACACTGATGACTTAATCATAACTTTAAAGCTTTGGAAGTGAGAAAGGTGGGTTGATTTTGATGATAATATCATGGTGATGATGGTGATAATGATAATGACGACAATGATGATGATGATAACGGAGCAGTGACATTATCAATGAAAGCAGGATAAAAATAAAGGTTGTTATGTAATGAAAATATAGATATGGATAGAGTACTAAAGGAAATGGCAGTTTTGTGCATTAATAATAAAAACATCCTTCATCGAACAAAAAAATAAGGATCTTAACTTGTGTACATGTAGTGGTTTTACAAATACGTCATCTTCCATGCCATCTAAAAAAATTGGCATCCCTTCCTCCCTTTAGAATTTTACGATTCCCCTTTTCTCTTCAAAAAATTTTAAGACCTAACCCTAACCCCCCCCCCCAAAAAAAAATCACCTGCTCCCTCCCCCCCCCGTGGTATACATTATGAATGCAGCCTAATGGGAAATTGGTGACTACTAGGAAGAGATTTGACTTGGATTTTTTATTTGTCAATTCTCAAAAAGATGGAGAGCCCGGAAAGCTTCATTGTACTCTTTTTCACAAGAAAAGTAACGAAACTGTTATTTTTATTCAAGGACTTTACGCCCTTTCCCGAGCTCAAAATTATGAAACTTCTAACATTTGATAACTTTTTTCCGCAACTACGGCATTCTAAAATCGGCTAAATCCCGAACTTGACGGCGGCTAGAAAGTATTCCCGCCAAAATGACGCTGGTTCAGGCGGACGCACTACGTCGTGTTGAAACGTCTCTATATACTACATACGGCGAATAGAACAAGTAAGTTAGGAACCGGGCGGCGCCAATATGGTCAAATTGGATCAATTTATGTGAAACTGCCCACCTAGCTACCCCTCCTCTAAGCCAACAGTTTTTTCTCGGCGGGAAGTAAGTGATAACGTTGACTTGTGGGAGGGATGGGTGGTCAGTTTCCCAGAAACCTACATTGATCCGCCAAATTATTGCGCATCGAGTTCAGGTTCAAACAGGTTAAACAACGTTACGTGAAAAATGAAGAAATATAGAAAAAATAGGGATAAATTTAGCGGAAAATTATTATATACACTCTAAGACTTAATTATAAGAAGTCATTCCTTCTTTTGTGCACTTTTCATTCTTATAATCTTCATTTTTTGTATAAAATCACCAACCACGCAAAAATAAATACAATTACAATTTTACCAAGCAAACTAGAGCAATTTGGATTTCTCTGTTCTTTCTCATTTTATTTATATAGTGCGGATTATGTAATAGGTACATAGATATATACGTATAAAAGTGAGTATGTTTATTTACATTTTTTGAATACCGTATAATACTTGAAAACTCATTCGAACGCATTTTGTACTTGAAAACTTGAATTAACGAGCAGAAACAAACAAAAAACAAAGAAAAACCTTCGCATATTAGATTAATTTGTAATGCTCTCGTTATCAAAGCCATCCCGACTCCCTATGCGTTATCATAAACCTTTGGTGCATACATACAAAGTAGTTTTAATTGAATCGCTATATTATTATAGTATTTCGGTTTTAATGCCAGGAGGACTCCTTCAAAAACTTGACAGGTCATACTGACTCTCATCTGTTTATCTGGAGAGCTGCCAAACGAAAAAGGAAACAAATACAAAGAACAACTTGATGCACACCTACTAAACGAGATTACATGTATTAGGGACTGACCATTAGAAAAGTTATGGCGGAGGGTGGGGGGCTTTTGGGGAATTTTCCAGCCGCGGGAATTTTTTTTTCGTTATCAAATTCCTTGTATGGATTTTTTTTAGACCGTAGCATGAATATTTTTTGGGATTAATTGGCATGCATAATTTTTTTTTCATTTAATTTTCCCTTGCGCGAATTTTTTTTTTTGTACTTCGCCCGCCCCCCCTCCCCCCCCCGGTAAGTTTTCTAATGGTCCGTCCGTTAGATCACACTGTTTTTCTTCTGTAATAATTATCCAAGGTACTGATGCGTGCCAGTGACGCACAGGCGCTCTTATAGGTAGACAACTGATTGGGACTTGGTTTGATTGTTTTTTTTTTTTGCAGCTTTCCAGTCCTCAACATCTTGACGGTCAATTCATTTCGTTAATGCCCAAATGCATTTACCTGCCAGTAATGCTAAAGAAATTGACCAATATATATAGCAAAAGAACAGTAGTTTAAACATTCAAACCACTGAGCAGGGAAGCTGTCAGTTGAAAGTTGAAAAATGTTTCCATGCAAAAGTACTATCGCTTTAGGTGCGTAGTAGTCATCGCTATACCGATATAAATAAATTGCATTATCAAAGGTATTTAACTTGAAGTCTTATCGTGACATGGTCCTCAATCAATAAAATCCGGACTTTAATCTGAATAGAATACATGTATAAACCCACAATATTTCAAGCGAAAACATCCACTTTGAGAATTGTACTAGACTGAGCTATCGCGCTAACTTACATCACTCGCGGGCTATCTAACCAGTCTCATTCAGTTCTTCAGGAAGAGAATAAAAGATGTCTGTGAGCAAGCTGAAACGTTTGCAACACATTACATGACTTGCTAATTGTACCTTTGCAGTTCACATTTCTGGACTGCTTAATTTACTCATCAAGTTCAGATTTCATTCTTTAATTAGTTAATGTCTACAACATGTTCATTGACCCTCTAGAATAGTACCCATCATTCGTCTGCCCAAGATCAATATCATTTCCAGTCCCCACACGCTTTTTGTGGGCCAGATATCCATTAGTATAATACTCATCTGCCTTTTCTCTCTCCTCTGCCCCTGTCTCGATGCGGGTTTTTGGAAGCTGCTGATTCTCCTTTTCGACTCCTTCCATGATTTTTTGTCCCGCATAAGTGACCAGTCCGAAAAAGATGAATCCAAATGCTATGATACCTGCAGACGCACCCCATAGCGCTGCGGTCATTGGGACGATGATAAGGGCGCTAACTAAGGCCACAGTGTCTAGGAGATAGATCAAACCAGCCAGAACCTGGCGATGAAAATGACTACCGATAACTGATCCCAAAGGAGCGCCCAATACAACAATTGGTACGCACACGGCAAGGTAATAATACGCCTCTGCAGAGATGGCTTGCTGCATCACCTGGCGCCAGTAGAATCCCACCACAGTGTTAATCGCCATTAGGACAACGGAGGTTGGCGTCGCTGTCTTTTCACTGACACGAAAGAGAAGCGTTAGAACGCTGAAGCTGCATATGTCTACACCACTTCCAGCGATAGCGGAGAAGATTCCACCAATGAAGCCAGTGAGTGAAAGGACGATCAGCTTCCACAGATTTATTTGTGGGATGACTTTGTAGGTCTTACGCTTGTGGTATAAGTTAAGAAGGAACAAGGCAAACGCAAAAGAGAACCAGACACTTACAAATCCTATTTTCTTCTGAGGTGGGAGAAGGTTAGGATCGATGAATTCCAGACCAATGGCCATACCAATCAAGCCTCCGATTGAACAGAATATGATGGAGTGCCATTCCAATTGTACGCGCATCCAGAAGATGGTGAAAGCTGCTGCCGTCATACCGCAGGACTGGATCATCAGCGAAAAGTCACGTGCTATTGAGGGTGGAATATTGAAAGCAAGGGTCATGACTGGAAAAGCGACCGCGCCTCCCCCTTCGCTGGTCATTCCTGAGGAGGGAAGTTGAGAAAAACGTTTTAAGTAAACATCTAAAACCATTATAAACAAGTTACAATAAAAACGGCGCGTGCAATCATAATCAACAAATCACAAGGAAATTAAAAACCAAATGTTAAAAAATTAGAAATAGAACTGGTAGAAATGAAGATGGATAAGTTGCGGTGATCAACTGGCCAAACTACTTAAACAAACAAACAAACAAGCCCCAAAAAACACTTTATTTGTGTGTTAACGTATTTAGTACGAAAGTACTAATTAGGGGCACTATTTTTTTACGTCTCCCTCTGGAGATAGGCCGCCATTTTAATTGATTACCCGAACCGCTGCAAGGTCTAGCGGTCTGAAGGACAAAGTCAGTATCCTCGCTTTCCTGTTATTTTAAGACCTTGAGTTTTTTCTACCTCGGAAATCGCTTCCTCGCCCCCCCGTTCTACAGTCAAGAGCTCAACCGAATAAACTAATCCTGCCGCGGTAAAACAATTGGGGAGATTTTTTTACTTGGCTCTGTTTTGAAGGTGCAGGGAGGTGAACCTGAAAATGTGTTATCCTTACCTGCAATCATAGATCCAAAAATCATGGTAATGGAGATGAAATATCTTTCTCCAAACAAGCTGAAAAAGTCGTATTTGATGGCGCAGCTCCACCACAAAACTTGATAAAATACAAACGGAATGGCCACACCCAGCAGACGGCGATGCTGCACGAGGATTCTCTCGATCAAGGGCGCGTTTGGATCAAGTTTCTCTAGGGCCTGAGTCTGAGTTGCATTTAAAGCCTGACCTGAGGAATAGCACGGGAAAATGGTTGCTATTAGAAATATGATCATTTTCCTGGTGCCCAGACTTCAGAGCGTGTACAAAGAAAATATATTTTTTCATTGTAGTCTAAGAGAAAAGAGCGGAAGCGTGCAGTAATTAAGCTTATATATATCATGCTTACAATAAAATGACAACACGCCGCGCCACGCCGGAGCACAGTACCAAAAGGTTGATGAACGAGTCTTCCTGCGTTCCAGATCAAATTGGAATTCTTAGGGAAGAACCGGGTTGTTTACCATTTACAGGGGCAAACCGGTCGGTCCACGGTTTAGGCAAATCGTACGCAAAATTCAGGACTGGTAAATGTAGCCTCGGAATCTCGTTTACCATTTGTACGAATCGGTTCCATTTACCGAAAAACGACCGCGAAGGTCTGAAACTGGTATCAACGATGGCTTTGAAGTAATGGAACACGAATTTCTGTTTGGAATATTCTGTCCGGAAAAACAGGACTAAGTTTTCAGATGTTCCGTTGCTCCCGGAAATTTTCAGCTGGAACGACCAAAAAAGTCATGTTCCATTTACTTTCCAACCGGCTTTTCCGCAATATTTTTGTAAATGGTAAACAACCTGGGTTCTGGTCGGAAAAACTTCTTTCGAAGCATGAAAAACAAACCAAAAAAAAAATGATAATAAGAGTAAAACAAATAATCTAACAAACAAACAGAAAACCAAGACAACGCTAGACCTTCAGGATACAAACATTGGCCTCGTGGCTGGATATAGTTAGCCCAACCTAGATATATGACTGAAACGGCGTTTTAAATAGCTCACGGTATCAGGTTATGCAAGGTGAAGATTACCTTCTAAGAAATATTTCTTAAACCATTCTCTTGGTGTTCTGCGTGGTTTCTTAACTTTTGCATTCACGCCTGGCATAGTCTGAAACAAGCAAACAAACAAAAACCATGTCACACATGAAATGTATTATTTGTGTTTCTGGATTTCATTGAAAAAAAAAAAAAAAAAAACGAGGGACGAATGTAACTATTACTCGCCAAAGTGGGTAGATTCTGATGTGGCAAGTCAATAAGTTGACTGTCATAGTTCTTATTTCACTTGGTTGGCTCCACCATTGGGCAGCCACAAGCGAACTTTGTGTTCTGATAGGTTATTTCAGAGGGCGTGATGGGCTTATATATCTAACCGGCTCGGAATTGCCTTCTTTATTCTCATAAAACTTTGCGTCTCGGTCTTTGAAAATGCAGAAAAGAACTTGGTTGATATTCAGCCAAATTGACCGACTAGACCAGCTTGACCAGTACTCTAAACCCATTTTTCAGTAACAGTTGTGACTTAAAAATTCCAGTTTTACCAATATCGTTTATACCCAAGTTTACGTTGTTTAATGGGTTTAACTTAAACTCTGTCGGTTAACGTCTGTTTTAGTAACCATGAGAAGAATTAGATTTTGAGATCTTTCTCCCATTCACAGATAGGAAGGGACCCACTCACTCCGATTTCAGCTGGTTTACGGCTGACGTCACAGCAGCCATGTTGGTTTTATACCGTATTTATTCGAATCAGCGCCCAACCTCGAGTAAGCGCCCACCTCGAATAAGCGCCCATCCTAAAGGCAGAAAAAGTTAATAAGCGCCCAGCCTCGACTAAGCGCCCACCCCCTCTTCCTCCCAATCAAACTCAAATAAGCGCTCACCCCCACCCCACCCACTTGAGTGAATAAATTTTAATAAGATACTTCCCCGCGAACGGAGTTTTTTCCAGAGTATTTTACAGAAACCTTGCTTTGTTACTTCTTCGCGTTTTGTTATTAGTATTTATTGTTTTGTTGCAACATAAACATACTTCACTTGCTGAAAATGGTGAAAATTTAATAAGCGCCCACCTCGAATAAGCGCCCACTCTCAAGGTCCGAAAATTTAATAAGCGCCCAAGGCGGTTAATCGAAAAAATACGGTAAGACAAAAGCGTTTCCCTTCTTTGGGAACTATACTCACATTTTTTATGAAAATTCTGCGAAAGAAACTTCTTAATTGTTTTGCCCTGTCTCTAACCTGGCCGACTTGTGACAAGGTTGCTGACCAAGAATAGAGCAAAATGAAAGATGCCGTGAATTTTACTGTAAGCTGAAAAGTTTCAGTTTGTTTTTAACGAGTTATCGAGTCGTAAGCTTTTGAATCATTTGCGGTGGTAATTCATAATTATTATAATCTCGGCTCAAGGAGCCTTATTTGGATTTCAATGCCATAGTTTTAATTCAAATTTACACCAGTGCTTATTCTAAAATTTATGTCAAAAAAATATATATTTTAAATGGTCATTGAAATAATAAATAATTTTATTCTGTATTGTTAGTCTTGCTAGTAGCCTCATTAATGGCGCCATAAAAATAATTGAATAAAAATAAATAAATAAATAAAATGCCTTTTTTTCAAGACTTTCTTTCATTAATAACTCATTAATTTTTAAGCCATTAACTAGTAGCAAATGACTCAGCTTATTTCCTCTATCTCCTGATCACTTAATTATCATTCACTCTCTTTTCCTATATTGCCGCAGTAAAGATTTCAAGCTACTGGAACCTAATGCTTCGATTTTCTGCTGTGTTTATAACAGGACTGAGCTATCTAAACAAGCCTCCTAGTTTGTTTTTTCTTTCAGGAGTCAGTTACAAAAAACTTGTTTTGGGGAAGAAGTTTTGTGAAGGACTGTTTAGCCAACCTTTTGATTGCTGCAAAATTCTCGAGTAAATATTACAATCTCAAAATATTTTCTATAAATACTACTAAGGCGAGATGCAATATTCTTTTGTTAGAGACTGTGCGTCAATAATGTATTGTTATTCGACTTATTTTGCAGGTATTGGCTTTTGAATGTGGTCAAGCCTGAATTCCAATGTAATATTGGTTTGCTTCGAGAAAAATGCCGGCTAAGCAAAAGTTTGATGATGGCTTTTGTAGGGCTTAATAAATAAAACCGATTTTTCTTTTAATTCAAAAAATATATAAACATATAGATGAGGCTTATAAATGTAACAAGGGAGAAGTGAAGTGACCGACATACTTTATAGTTGTCAACCCTCATTTCCTTTGCAGTTAAGCTATTTCCTGTGCAACAAGTTCAATATATTTAAATGATAAAATTGTGCCGCAATTAGTTATCCGAGCGTCGCTATCACTGTGACGTAAGGTGACTAAGCGATATGAGCAATATATATGGCATGTCTGCGGCGTAAAGAAAAAAATTATGAGCGGCAAATCTATCCTTTCCTTTTATTCTTTGACGTTAACGATTTTATTGACTAATGGGACCTTAAAACTGTCGTTCATTCAACATAAAAATTGTGCAAAAAAGAATAAAAATAGGTTAATGGTTTTTAGGTTGTTGCGGCTTTGTATCAATGTGGTTTCTTCAACCACGAGAACAATACAAATTTTTTGTCTGATTTTCAGACTGAAATGTAAACCTTTTGGCAAAAGTACAAAGACATCAAGCATGACCAAGGAAGGCTTAAGTTTTAGTGATCAGTTAAGGTGTTTACTCCAAGATCCTGATCAAGGAAAATAACAGTTCAGGTTAACGATTTTGGAGTATCCGTTTCAGCGCAAGTAAAGTGGGGTAGTTAGCCTTGATTGCCCGATATTCCAATAGCGTGCTGATATTGAAACATCGATCGAAAAATTTCCTGTATCGGTAAAAATCTGAGCAAAGAAATAAAAAGTATATTTTCCTTCTCTGTTTTATTGCTTGGTTTGCACGATTTTCTAATTATAATGTTAGGCTCTGGTGAATAATGCTGCACCCAAAAACGATCGGGGCGGGCAACTTTCATATGATTGTTAAAAAGTACCCCAGCTGAGGCGAAAACAGAAACTTTAAACCAAAGTCGTCCTTAAAACTCCTTGTGTATCCTTTGGCTGTACAAATTCGAATGGTCGATCTTAGGTCATTAAACTCAGGGTACTTTTCAAAAATTGTTACTAGCTAGATAATGTGCAAGGATTTTACCTTTCGTGCTTAATTATATCTCGTAAGTTAAGCTTAGCAGATTTTGCACCACGCTATATCAGTAAATTTAGCATAAGGCCGAGATTAAAGAACGAATGTCACAAAGTATAACTTTTTTAAAGGAAAATTGATGTACAATGACGGAACGAAAGGTAGAGGTTGCAAAGAAATGGTGAACATAAATTTTAAAATGTGGCTATGCACTAGCGAAGTTTTTCAAAATTTATTTAATATATATATTTTTTTAAAATTGAAGATCTATTGCGAAGTAAAGAAAAAAATTAATAAAATAAAAGAGGGAAATAAAATAGAATCTTACTTGTTCTTCTGGCATTTTGTTTTCCCTGTTGTAAGACCTCCAAGGTGCGTGATGTCCGAGAGTTGGCGAATGCGGTGCATGTCTCTGGTTGTAAATTCCATCTCCTTTGAAGTCAATTGCAACCTCACCGTTAACTGCTCTGTTATTTGAGTCCATCGCAGTTTTCGTTCTTTTGGAAAACGAAAGCGTCACCTGAAAAAATAAAAATATACCATATCCTTTAGGCTGGCTGTGGTAAAAGTTGGTAAAGAACTCTAACTAACGAACGGCTTCGCCAATTGGCCTTCTCTTTTTTTTATCAACTTCTATTAAAGCAGGAGTCTTAATTAAACTCCACCAGGATGTAAAAAGGGGAAAAAAGAAGAGGAAGAAGTAACGATAAGAGGAAGAAAAGGAGATGAGTAAATATTTGCCGCTAATAAATCATTTACATACAAGGACATTTCTCTACAAGCCTTCAATCCTACATTACATAACTCACTTAGGCAAAACGGGTCTGTAAGAAGTGCTGATTTGGTAAGGAAAGAAAGAAAATATGTCATCACTGGCAACTAAGTCATAAGAAATGGCAATATAATTGATTCTTAGTTGAAACAAAGACAGCATACTTTCAGTGATAAAGCATTTTAAGAAAAACAAATAAGCTTCAGCTTCTTATATCTACCTGTAATGCTGTTCCTGGCCGGTTAAGTAGCAGATAGGTAATGAATTGTCCGGGCGATATATCATTTGCTTTAACGTATTTTTTCAACAAAACGATCAAAAAGCATTTTATTGTTTCCGTTTCTATTTGCGTCACAGACATAAATCAACGGACATTGATTGTCTTTAATCTCACATAGACGCATGTCAAAGAAAAGGCTTGGGGCGGCCCGCGGTGTATTTCTGCAGTGTCACTAGATAGCAAAAAGGTGTTCCATAAAACTTTTTCCATCGACACTTTTTCATTAGGCTGATAAATAACAAAACAAAGTGTAATGACCAAGAAGGAAGGTTGTACAGCTCTCATATTCCCAAGTAACTCCTTCGTATTTTCAGGAGGCACTTTCATCTTTGCTGGAGGCCTTTGAGGAACATTATCTCGGAAGCTAAATATTATTGGTCAATACGTCGAGTGCTTCGTTATTTTATCAAACAATAAAACACGCCATTATTGCGTCATTTCTGAAAATGCATGTTTGTACAGAGACTCCTTCACCATAAATGCTCCAAGCTTAAGATTTGAATGATAATCGAACTGTAACGGTCGTGATCATCTTCAGTGTGTCCTTCTTTTTTTCCAAGAAATCTTAAATAATATTCTTCGGTCTTGAAGGACATGGGTGAAGTTGCAATCGGACCACTAAAGTAACAAGTCTCTATTTTCTGAATTAAATATATTCTGTATCTACAGCTTAAAATAACTTAAATGACTTAAGATTGCATTCCCCATGCCAATATAATGATTGCCTGCGAAACCTCTTTCTTGGCATTCTTTTCTTTTTGGCTACCAGTGGACAACAAATAGAAATTATCTATTTTAAAACTGTTTGTCTTTTTGCCAAACAGTTTCGTGTCATCTCACAGAACTCTGGATTTAACAAGTTGACCAGAACACTCATTTTATAAACAATTTACTTAGGAAGATATTGTTGAACTTTCAGTAAGGTTTACATCACTCCTCGCCCCCTACACCTCCTTCAAAGGAAAAAATAAAAAAGCAAAACAAAACAAAACAATAAAACACAATTAAACAACTCAACGTACCCTGCAGCAAATGGAGGAAGTTATAGACATGTTTCATTGTATATCTTGACTTTTGCAGATTATTTTTAACGTTTCTTACCACATTTTGACGTCATAGTTCGAGAAACTACGTTTGGATCAGGACGCAGGATAAGATATTTCATTTTCTTTTTTTAAAAGACCATAGATTGTGGAGTCATTACTGAACACTGTACGTTTCTGCAAAGAACTCAGTGGCAACGTTTGAGATAACATGTACAGTGAAATGATTCCGAGCAGCACTAAAGCAAAACAGTTCAGCCGTTGAGCTTTGAACTTTATCAAGTAGCATTAAGCTGACTCCTTCCAATATTCTCGATCACAACACACAGCTAGCATAAGTGGAAAACTTTGAAGCTCGTGTGGTTTTCCTTGACACGTTTTTCTCTGAAGTGTTCATCGTGACATTGGCATTGGCAACTGTTTCAGATCTTGGTTCCGGCAAAATGGCTGGCGCGCGTATGTATGACTGACGCACTCAAGTCAAGTGCTGGCTTTCACTCTCTCAAGTCTGTGGTTGAAAGTCTGTGATCCAGTAACCTACTTCCGTCTCGATCCATCCCTCTGTTAATTTTTTTTAGTGGAAAGAGGAAATGTTGGTCGTCTGTGTGGGCGAGTTTAAGGTAACCCAAGAGAGCTGCATGTAAAATAAATCTATGAATCACACTACTTTGTTTGTTTGCTTGCTTCTTTGTTGAGAATTGTAAAAATCAAAGTTCAATTATTATTATAGTATCTCACAAACATTTCTTCATGATAATGTCGGTAATGTGTGTGAATGCTTTCACATCGATCGGCAGTTGGCTTATGTTAAAGTCAAACTCCGCTTAACGGACACACGCTTAATGCGGACTCCTCATTCAGTATTACGGACAATTTCCTTTATTTTCCCCTCGGAAAAAAAGCCCTAACAGTTGCTAATACGAACACTCCGTTAGTACGGACACTTTCGATGGCCCCTCAGTGTCCGTATTAACGGGATTTATGACTGTATTTGGAATGAGCGTGAAAGATACGCAAGGAAGTCTTTTTTTGTAATTATTATAGTGCTTTTCCATGCAAATAAAGCGTCATCTCGGATGAGTGAATCTTTTCTTAAACAAAATTATTTTATCAGCATCTTGCCAGTGACATGCTGTTCAATTATAATAAATATGACACAAAATATATAATGCTACTGAGATTAACACTTTGAGGTAGGAACATATAAATAATTATAACAATTTTTTAAGAAGTTCAATGAAACCTGACATAAACCAGGGTGTAAAGTTATTTTTAGAAAGGGGCTGCAGGGTCAAGGCTGGCTCGTTCATTTTGTTAACATCACTAATTACTCTTCTTTATGCGCTATGGAACTTAACGTTAGAGCGATTTTCGTATGATCTTGAAAAATGTTTTCGTTAAGTGTGTTATCAGCCAATGGATGAAAAGATCAAAACATGGACTCTTTGTTTTGCCCCCAAGGGAAGCCTTAATGTGGAGAACGCATTGTTCAATAAGCCAGTCGCGTTGTAGTACGACGTAGTAGTATCAAACAACGTTACAAACAACAGACATGAACTTTGAAAAACTGTCAGGCTAACAAATTTTTAAAAACCTGCCTGTGCAATTTCAGCCCTTTTAACCTTCTTTAAGTTTGTCCATTCGTGCCTACACTTGTATTTGCTGTGTTATTAATACCTTCTTTTAATGTTCTGAGAGATTATTTGTATGTGTCTCTCAATTTGGTACCAGTTTCTACTGTTAGAATTTACTCTAAAATTTGTGACATGGCTCCATTAACAGTTACAACACCTATAAAGTGCTTTTGTTTTATGAATTAGAGAACTGAGTAGCCTTCACATGCCAAGCGAGTTTGAGTTAGATCTACCTCAATGAAAACGGTCATTGTTAACGGTTTGCGTCATTAGGGAAGGACATTTAGAAAAGTTATGAGTGGGAGGAGGGGGCGGGCCAAAAATAAATATATGTATATATTTTGTAAGGGAAAGATTCATGCGGCTCGAAAATTATCCACCTCAGGCCCCCCCCCCCCACTTTTCTCATGGTTCGTGCCTTATTGACAGTTTTTCCCTAAGAAAGCTAACATATGCTAGAAAGCTATTATTTGTGTGAAAGAAAGTCCTGGAAAGTTTCATGAAAACAGAAAATAAACATCGGACCATTACAAGAGAGGTCTTTGTTTTGACTAGTGATGCAAACTTACATATACATCAGCCTGAGAAAACAACCGAAAATTCGCGACGCCGCCACTGGTTTACTTTTCAGCGCGAAATGAAATGTCATTTCGCGGGGAAACCATTGGTGGCTTCTCGAAGTGTCGGTTGTTTCCTCGGGCTGATAGACCTCTTAAGCTTGTATGTTTTGTTTTCCCAATGAACGTCTCCGGGGAGCTAATGCACCTTTGACGTTTCCTAAATTATGTGTATTTAAAGAAAAAATCAAATAAATTTCATTTTCTTGAAAACTATGTCACATGACCTCTTAGTGCAAATGGCCTATAATACCCAATTATGTCACACTGGTGATGACGGAACTACAATAAAACAGTGATGCCCACCTTATAAACTAGAAAAATATAATAGACTCCTCTCTTGTCACTTGAGAAACGTAAAATCTCTGCTCGTGATCATCAAGCGATAAATAGAATAGAAAAACTTGGCATTGCATATATACCAATTCTTAGTTCCTCGTAAATAATTGTTATTTACATATTTAATGAAGTAACGTTTAACCTTGTTAATGATTGAAGTAGTTGTACGCATGTATGGAAATTAACTAACCTGCCTGATAGAAGGGACGTCAAGAAGAATAGTAAGCAATTCACAAGTTCTGTATCGAGTTTTGTTTCATTTTAGGTAATCGGGGAAGCCTTTGCCATTAAAGGACAAAACCGAGCTAATTGGAATGTATAAAGAAATCTTCGAGTAGTTGTATTGTGATGATGTGAAAATCTAACTTTTGTGAATTTCAAACCCTTGCCACGAGAAAAAATAGTCGGTTCTAACAATTTACGACGAGCTTTCCATGCATGTCGCTTTGACACGAGGTGAGTCCCTCTGTATAGTCGGCTCTAAGGTTACAGTTGGTTTAAGATGACTTAAATTAAAATCTGTAGATGCCATAAGTAAACTCATTTAACTAATGTTTGCTCAAAAGCACTTTACCTTATAGCTTTAGTTGTCACTAGAGATTTTGAGTGTGACTCAAGGATCTTTAACTCTTATAAAGGCGATTAGAAGCAATAGCCTCGTGATAAATTCCTCTCACCTTTCGAAAGATAATCGCTATATCTGTTCCGTCGCCATCACCACAATTTCGCCTAGCTCTGGCTATTATAACTCACAATGAAAGAGCTCAGTTTAATGCAATATTATGCCTGAGCGCCAATATCATTGAAATTATTTTTGCTTAAACGTGTTAACATTCGTTTTATTTATATTGCCTTCGTTGTTACTTTACCATTTTGAAAACCAATCATCATCATTATCATTGACAAGAGACCAAGGTGGGCGTCCAAGATGATCATAATATGCTCGTTTATTTACTGTACTCATAAGGTTATGTCAATGCTATTAGTATTATAAAGAAAAAAAAAATAAAGGGAGATGTACAGAATCAACCTAATGAGGACAGAAAAAAAACTGAGCCCCAGATGGGATTCGAATCGACTAACCTCCGTAAGATTCCTTCCTTCCGACTCATAAGGTTCCATCTCCAACTGTTAAAATAAAAGACGAAAAATGTCGATCTGATAATTTCGACTGTTCAGAAAAAGCTTCACTCACATTCTATAGGGATTGCACGTGACTTTGCGAAGAGACCGCTTTTTTATGTATCAAGCATCACGAGCCGAGCATGAGCCGTCATGCGCTCTTTCGAGTATTGATCCTTCGGCTGAATAACGGGGTCCAGTAACGTTTGGGT